TTCTATCCAGCCCAGTACAAGTCCCCGAATTCCGTAGTTGTGTAGTTTCCTCAGCAGTATTTTGTGGTTCACTCGATCGAATGCTTTGGAGAAGTCGAGGTACACGACATCCACTGCATCACCGTGATCAGCTGCTTTTGTCCACTCTTCTCGGACCAGAAGCAGGTTAGTGGTACAAGATCAGCTGCGACGAAACCCATGTTGAGCTGGAGATAACACGTATTTTTCCAAGTGATTCATCACATTGTCTACCACAACGGATTCCATGACTTGGGATAATACGGGGAGGAGAGTAACGGGGCGGTAGTTAGCCGGGTCGCTACGACAACCGCCCTTGAATATCGGAGAGATTATCGCTTGTTTCCATGTTTTTGGGAGCGCAGTTTTGTTGAACATTGGTTGGAATAGTTTGCTTAGGGGTTGAGCTAAGTTACTCGCCAGGTTGATAAGGGTTTGTGAATGGATATTATCTACCCTTGGAGATGAGTTCCTTTTCAAACACTGCAGTTTCGATGCAACGATTTCTGGGGGAAAATCAATTGTGGTGAGCACTGGTTGTGATGTATCCTCAAGTGACAGAGGCAGTCGTAGTCCGGTGTTCGCAGGTGCGGTGAACACTTGAGCGTACTGACGTTTTAGCATTTCATCTGCCTCCTTTGTTGTGACTGAAACACGCTCTGCCAACCTTAACGCAGGAACACCAGAATTAACTTTTCTGGCGGCATTTATGTGTTTGTACAACAGCTTGGGATTTGATATGAACTTGCGCCTGAGCATTCTTTGTTGTATTAACTTGTCTTCTCGCGCCAACTTGGTGCAGTGGTTTCGGAGTTGACAGTAGGTATACCATGTGTTGTAGCAAGGCGATCGTTTATAAGCTCTCCATGAGGTATTCCTCTGCGAAATCCACTTTTTTGTCCGACTTCGAATTGCTGATCTTTGACCAGTTGAATAGGTGATACGTTTGGTCTTCGTCGCGCCTTTCATCAGTTTCGTCAGGTGGTTTGTAAATTCTTCCCAGGATACCAGGGGATCACACTGTTCGTTGGGAAATTTCCATTGGAAATCTCTCGCCAAAATTTGAAGTTTAGTGTAGTCAACAATTATACAGGAGCTAATCGTAGAACTGTGCGGTACGAAAGCATAGCAAATGTAGTCAAACGTCAGCTCAGCATGATCACTACGCCCTAATGGAGTTGCAGTGGAAATCGCTTCCACCATCAGTTCTTCGTTAGCTAACACCAGGCCCAAAACCGATGGTGACTGGTTGGCTCCAAACCTCGTGGGCTCCTTCACAAAATTGTAACCTAGATAGGATTCCATGAGCCGTGCAAGTTTCCTCTCAAACGGTTGTAGAGAGGTCGCTGAGTTAGCTAGGTTAGGGCAATTGAAGTCACCCATAATGAGAACATGTGTGAAATTTAGTGACAGTATGTGATACATGGTTTGCAATAGTGTCTCATTGGCTGAGTCTGTCGATGAGGGAGAGCGGTACACCACACCGATCAAGCCGATATCGCGCTGCGACAGTCGCACTTTGCACCATAGTGAGTCAGAAACCGCAGTAGGATAATCAATTACTTCGCATTGTAGTTTGCTGCTAAAGTAGAGTAACACCCCACCACCCCTTGTAGTTCGATCCCGTCTGAGCAGAGTCATGCCGGGTAAGCTTAACTCTAAGTCCAGAATGTCGGTTGTCAGCCAGGTTTTGGTGACTGCAATAATGTCCCATTGACCAGTTTGGCAACACAGTTCTACCTCTGCAAATTCGCTGAGGAAACCTTGGGAGTTAGTGTAGAAACGATGCAGTTGGTGGCGGAGCAGAAACTCGTCGGGGAGCAGGGGGTTAGTTGAGCCAACCGTATTGTGGTCGGCTAAGGAAAGTTTTTTGGGAGAATAGTTTTCTGGGACAGATCTGCTAGTTTCGGGAAGGAACACAAAGTCTGTCGGAACCCAGCTTGTATGGAGGTGATATTTTCCGCCTGTGAAACACTTTTGGTCTCTGTGTTGTGCATGGGTCTCAACCTCAGCTCTGATGGTCCCTTGATCTTGTTGTCGTACCAAGACTGCAAGACAGTTCTAGCCATTTCTGGTGTGCCTAGAGTTATTTTCAGAATTCTCGGGCCGTCTCCGCGGTAGTTAGGAGAACAGGGCAGACGGCTAACTGCTGTAGTCGTGATCTGGCGACATCCGATGAGATCTTGAATGAACCGCCACTCTTTACAATCATTTTGCTAGCATTTTGATGCGTCTGGATCATTTAATTGTGGGAGTCCGTGTATAAGACTCACCCGGGCATTGTCTGTTTCCCGTGCGCTGTCCGGGTTATTTCGTTGGTGCGCGCGCTCGCTCCATGGTCTGTCTGGTACAATTCTTATTTTACTTGAACTTCCTCG